CCTTATTCTTGGGTCATGTTCTTACTTCAAGGGAATTGCTATAGACTGAATTGTATATTACCTGCCCCAAATCATATATTGAAGGCTTAACTCCCAATCTGATGGTATTTAGAGATGGGGACTTTGGGAGGTAGTTAGGTTTAGATGAGGTCATGAGGATGGAACCTTCATGTTGGGATGTGTGCCTTTGTAAGAAGAGACACCATAGAGCTTGCTTTCTCTCCACAAGTGCACAAAGAAGAGGTCATGTAAAAACACAGCAAGATGGTGGTTACTAACAAGGCAGGAAGAGAGATTTTTACCAGAAACTGACCATGATGGCATCCTGATCTCAGACTTCCAGCCACCAGAACAGTGAGAAAATAAATGTATATTGTTTTAGCTACCCAGCCTATAGTATTTTGTTTTAGCATTCTGAACAGGCTAAGGCAAGCATGGTCCTGACTCCTAGGGTCTGTCCCTTCTATGAGATATTAATGGAAAGCCTAGGGTGTTTTCTGAGACCCATTCAGCTTGGGAGGACTTGAATTCTAACCTCTATCTCCCTAGCACTATGAAGCTGCTGAAAATCCTGCTCAGCTTTTAGCCTCTGGTCTGCTCTTGCCTGCTGGGTTTCTTGGAGTCTGTCCCTTCACATGCATGGTTTAGTCATCAGCCAATCACTGGAGTGTAATAAAAATGATAATTTGGGGGTCACTTCTTTATAGTTCTCTTCTTTCTGGGATTTTGCTCTTCAAGTTCCAAACTCTGATGTCCCCAGTGAGACTGCTACTTTCTGCTTAGGTTCTATTACCCTTTGCACAGAATTAGATATACCCCCAGAAAAAAAAGCAAGGAAATTAGCTCTCCAATGCCTTATGTCATTTTATGTATTTTGTCCATTTTCCATTATTGTTTTCAATGAAAGGATTCATTCTGAATGTTCTCTGAAGACCAGAATAGGAAGTTCTCTGGAGACCAGAATATTCATATTTTAAGATTCAACCTAAATGTGACTTCGTGAACTTTTTCCTGATTCTTTTGCTCTAGAATAGAATTATCATTTCAAGAGGAACTTTTTCTGGTTTCCACAGAACCTGGCACATACCTCTATCATTACCCTTACTAGATAACATTTCCATTTTTATGGAACAATTGCCTCTCTAAGGGACTCCCCTATCAATTTCATTGTTTTCTGAAAAATTCCTTTTTGGGGGGAAAATTCCTTTAAAGACCTAATTATATTCACAGTGTCTCGTTTTTCTCCCCATCTCCTCCAACTTTTCCTTGAATATACTCCAAATTTGCTTTTGCTCCCACCGTACCACTAAAACTTACATTACTGTGGTCACTGATAATTTCCATGTTATCAAATCCAATGGTGAATTCTCAGGCCACATCTTACTTGACTTATTCGCAGCAACTGGCACAACTGATCACTCTCTTAAGGATGCCTCTCTGACCTGGTTTTCCCCTACTTTCCTAGTGGCTCCTCTTCATCTCAACCTCTAAACACTGGAGAACCTCAGGGCTCATTCCTCAGACCTCTCCTCTTTTCTATCAACATTCCCTACCTTGAAGATCTTGCCTCTTAGTTTTAGATACCATCCATGTGTTGTTGATAACATTCTAATCTCTATTTCCTACCTGGACTTCTTCCCTGAACTCCATACTCACATATCCATCTGCCTACTTGACATCTCCACCTGGGCATTTAATAGCCATCTCAAATTTTAACATGCTCAAACAGAGCTCCTGGTATTTCCACCAACCTGCTGTTGTAACTACTTTGTCTTCTCCATCAGCAACTCTGTCCTTCCCATTACACTCAGGACAGAAAACTTCTGGTTTTCTCATTTCTCACACCATTTCTGATCTCCAAGCTAATCATCACTTCCACTTTCATATTTTAGCTAGAATATGAAAATTCCTCACTATCTCCATTGCTATCACTCTCATTCAAGCCATCCTTATCCTGTCAACATTACTGTAATAACCTGCAAACTTGTCTTTCTGCTTTGTTCTTGTTCCTTTTATTTTTTAAAAGATTTTATTTATTTATTTGAGAGAGAGAGCGAGTAAGCACGCGGGGGGAAGGGCAGATGGAGGAGAGAATCTCAAGTAAACTCCACACTGAGTAAGAAGCCTGATGCAGGGCTTGATCTCACAACCCTGAGATCATGACCTGAGCCCAAATCAAGAGTCAGACTTTGAGTGGCTTAGTTCGTTAAACTTCTGACTCTTGATTTGGGCTCAGGTGATCTCAGGGTTATGAGAGCAAGCCCTGCCCTGCCTTGGGTGCCACACTCAACGGAAAGTATGCTTGAGATTCTCTCTCTTCCTCTCCCTCTGCCCCTCCCCACCCCACATGCTCTTGCTCTAAAATCAATCAATCAATCTTAAAAAAAAACCTCAGATGCTTAACTAACTGAGCCATCCAGGCACCCCTGCTCTTGTTGCTTTTAGTGTATTTTCTTTTTTTTTAAGTAAGATTTTTTATTTTATTTATTTGAGAGAGAGAGAGCACAAGAGGGGGTAGGGTGAGAGGGAGAAGCAGACTCCCTTCCGAGCAGGGAGCCCGATGCGGGACTCGATCCCAGGACTCCGGGATCATGACCTGAGCTGAAGGCAGTCGCTTAACCAATTGAGCCACCCAGGCACCTGCTTTTAGTGTATTTTCAATTCAGCATCCAAAATGATCCCATTATAATTTAGAGCATGTTCTCTTCTGCACAAAACCCTTCAATGACTCCATAATTCAGAGTAAAAGACAAACTTCTTTAAATCACCTACAGAGTCTCACATAGTCTCCCCTGCTCCTTACCTAACTTTTCTGACCTCATCCTCTATTTTTTATCTCGTTCCTTCTCAGGCACCTCCTTGCCATGCTCCCATCTCTGAGCCTTTGTCCTTGCTTTTCCACAAAATATCCTCATGGTTTCCTTCCTCACTTCCTTTATTTACTCAAATATCACCTGTGCACCTGGACATCCATCTAATACCGTGATCCACTCTCCATATATACATGCACATCTCCAATCCAACTCTGGTGCTCTTTTTTCTCTCTTAGCACTTACCACTAACATACTACATAGTTTCCTCATTCATCTCCCCCACTAGCATGTAAGCTCGGTAAGGGTATTTTTTATTTATTCAAAATTCAGTCTTTAGTGTTTGGAAAAGGTGCTCTGCAAATATTTATTGAATGAATGAATGCCTTTCTGTATTACTTGTATCTACCATCAGATATTCTTATTATCTAGTACCTGCTTAGCATACATTAGTCAGAAATGTTTGTTGAATGAATAGGTACCCGTCATCTTTTTTTATAGGTATTTTTAAAATAAACAATTTTTTTTTTTAACAGATTTAGTTTCAAAGCAAAATTGAGTGGAAGGAACTCTACCTCCCTCCCCTACCCGCAAACACACAGACTATCCAGCCATCAACATCCTGCACCAGTGTGGCATATTTGTTAATAATCAATTAATGAACACTGACACATTATCATGTGAAGTCCATAGTTCACATCTGATTTCACTCTTTTTGTTGTACATTTGTGGGTTTTGACAATGTATAATGTATTCACCACTGTAGCATTATACAGAATAGTTTTGCTTCCCTAAAAATCCTGTGCTCCATCTCCCTGCAAACCTGACAACCCCTGATCTTTTTTTTTTTTTTACTGCCTTCATATTTTTGCCTTCTCCAGAATGTCATATAGTTGGAATCATATATTACATAGCTTTTTCTGATTAGCTTTCACTTAGAAATAATCATTTAGGCTTCCTCCATGCCTTTTCATGGCCTGATGGCTCATTTTTTTTTTTTTTTTAGTGAATAATATTCCACTGTATGGATAGACAAGTTTTTTTGCATATTCACCTACTGAAGAACACCTTGGTTGCCTGCAAGTTTTGGCAATTAGGAATAAATGTGCTATAAACATTCATGTCAGATTTTCGTGTAGATATAAGCTTTCAACTTACTTGGGTAAATACCAAGGCATGTGGTTTCTGGATCATATGATATGATATGATATCATATGATATGGTAAGATTATTTTCAGCTTTTAATGCCCAACTCTCTCCAAAGTGGATGTACCAATCTGCACTCACACCAACAATAATGAGAATTCCTGTTGCACCACATCCTCACCAACATGTATCATCAGAGTTTTAGATTTTAGCCATTCTAATAGGTAGGTAGTGGTATCTCATTGTTGTTTCAAATTTGCAATTCCCTAATGACCTATAATACTGAGCACCTTTTCATGTGTTTATTTGTCATCTACATGGTGAGGTGTCTGTTCAGATCTTTTGCCCATTTTCTAATTGGGTTGCTCCTTTTTTAATTGTTGAATTTTTAGTGTATTTTGGATAACAGTCCTTTATCAGATGTCTTTTGCAAATATTTTCTTCCAGCTTGTGGCTTCTTATTCTCTTGAAGTATACATTTGACCCTGGACTACAGGGGTTAGAGGTACCCACCCCACACAGTTGAAAATTGACATATAACTTCTGACTCCCCAAAAAACTTCATTAATAGCCTACTGTTGACTGGAAGCCTTACACTAACAGTCAATTTAACACATATTTTATATGTAATATATATTATATACTGTATTCTAACAATAAACTAGTCTCATGTTCAAAATATCATGAGGAAAATACATTTACAGTACTCTACTGTATTTACCGAAAATACCCACCTATAAATGGTCCCCTGCAGTTCAAACCCCTGGTGTTCAGCGGTCAACTGTATATCTTTCTACAATATGTAATCACGCTATGTATAATGTGGCATTTCCCATTTTGCTTGAGACTTCCCAATCACCATTCTAAAGGACTGCAAGATAAATATATTTTTTCTCCACAACTCCACAGAGCGGATTTTATTATGCCCACTTCACAGCTGAAGGGAGAGACGAGAATGGTAATTTGCCTAAAGCTGTAGGGGGGATGACGCGCGGAGCTCAGAGTGGGAGTAGGGGGGAGTGGTGGAATCTACCCAGTGCTTACCCTAGGCTAAGCTGCTTCTCCGCAGCGGCGGCGGTTTCTACGACTAGGTAATATATCTTCTTTTGGCCTCCCAGCTGACTTTAAAACAAAGTAAAGCCATGATCCTCTGGGTGACATCTCCGGAATTTAAAGTCTGGGTGCAAGGCCCGGTTGGCCGCGGGGCAGGCGCTCTCCTCCTTCCCGGTTCCGGAGCCCGCGAAGGCGGAGCGAACAGTCCACGCCCTCTCGCCGGCCCCAGAGCCCTCACTCCACACCCAGAGGGCGCGGACACCGGACTGGGGCTCCCGGAGCGCGGCGGTCGGGCGGGCCCACATCTCGAGGTGCGCCAGCCCGCTGTCCCGCTGCAAGGAGGGAGCCCGGGCCGAGCGGCCGGACGCGCACTGACCAGCGGGGCCCACAGAACGGAGCGCGGTGAGCGCGCAGCGGGGCGGCCACTCTGCGGCTCGGCCTCTCCGAGCCCGAGGAGCTCTGTCCCCGGCGACCCTCGTGTCAGGCCCGGGCGTCCGCCCCCTGCCTGTCCCGGCGAGGCTGCGCGGCGTCGGAGTTATTCCGGACTCTCCCACCGCTGCCTCTTTGCTTCCTTACCCAGGCCTCGGGAAGTTTGCCGCGGAAACGAAAGTAAATAACTCTGCGTGCGTCTGCGCGGAGGCAGCGGCTGCCACATCCAGGTTCGCCAGGGACCGGCTTCCAAACAGGGGTAGGGTTTCCTGATTAGGCGGGCGGGCGGTGGGCGGGGACGGCATCCACCGGAAGTCTAACAGTGACTGGGCCTTTCGGCTGGTGGGCGGGGCTTGCGGCGGTGGGGGAAGTTGAGCTATGGGAAAGCCGTCGGTATTCCCGGAAGTAGGGCGGCCTGCTGGGCCTATGGAATTTCCCTGAGTCGGCTGTAGAACTGTCAAAAGTCCAGCTGCGCTCCTTTCTTCCCAGATGTTGCTCACCAGGTGTTAACTCCGTCCAAGGGCGTAGACCTGCCCTCGGGCCAGGAGGACGGTGTGGCGGTGGGTTGCTGCTATCGTTGTTGTTTCGTAGCGATGATGGGTTTTTATTGCAATCATTAAGATACGGTGGCGCATGCTCTCGTCGTAATAGGATTACGTACTGGTCCTGGGCTAGGAGTGCTTACCAAGCCTTTGAAAGGGCTTTTACTCTTGCCCTTGGGGCCGCGCGCGCGGGTTGCAGAGATCAAGCATTTTGCAAAGCATTTCCGCATAACTTGGCTGTGAGCTGGCAAATGGAAAAGAAGGGTCCACTTGCACAGCGACAGAAGGGATGAATGTCAGAACCCTAGGAGACCTCTTACGTAGTCAGTGGCATTTGTTTTTACGAAGTGCTGCAGAATCTTGTCAGGGTTTGAAGAGGTTAAGCTACATACTCCTTTCCTAAGCATTTGGCAAAACACCACCGATGGAGGGGGGCGGCGGTTATTTCTTTGTCTCTCGCTGATCCTTCGGCTCTTCCTTGCCCTGAGCTCTTGTTTATCTTGGACAAAGCCCGAGGCTGTTATATTCAACCAACTTTTCAGAAGTCCTACGGTCTTTAGACCACTATTAATTCTTCCCTTGATTTACACCCGAGGAAATCAAGGCACAAGTAACCTTTGGAACATAGAGTGACTTAGTAGTTGATCTGCATTTTGTAAACACCGGGTAGGTGCCAGAGGAAGGAGGAAATTGTAGTCAATCAACAATGTGGAAAACTGCAACTCTTCTAAACACAAAAAGTGAAGACTTTGTTTAAAATTTAGGGTGTATCGGGCGCCTGAGTGGCTCAGTCAGTTGAGTGTCTGCCTTTGGCTCTGGTCATGATCCCAGAGTTCTGAGGCCCGGTCCTGCATAGGGTCCTTGCTCAGCGGGGAGTCTGCGTCTCCTTCTCCCTCTGCCCCTCCCCCCTGCTCATTTGCGCTCTCTCAAATAGATGAATAAAATCTTTTAAAAAATAAATAAAATTTAGGGTGTATCGTTACAATTATTGTTAATAAAACAGTAATAATTATTAACTTTAATTTTCATTTTCTTCTTCACTATATTGAGCCGCAGAGATATGTTGCACTTTTTTTGGGGGGGGGTAGGAGCAGAGGGAGAGAGAATCTTAAGCAGGCTCCACACCTACTGGAGCCCCATGTGGGGCTCATTCTCATAACCCTGAGCCAAAGTCAAGAGTCAGGCCCCCATCCAACTTAGTCACCCAGGCTCCCCAATATGTTGCACTTTTAAGAATGTGAATATTAATGAGAATTAAGAAAAATTCCTAAAATATCAAAATGGCTAACTACTATTTGGTGCTTATTAATCCATAATATGTTAATACCACCAATATGATCTGGAATTTGAAAAAATATATATAGGTTCCCATGCTTTGGTTGGATGTTATACTCTGGCAAAAATGATTGACTGCATTAACCTGTAAAATACTGATTTTGAACCACATATTATGTTTTAAAAATTTAGTCTGTGCATTTCCCATGTTTCTGACTGTAGCATATTCATTTAATATAGGTGAGCAAAGCTATAAGATTGAGTCTTTGAATAGGATTTTAACAAAGATTATAGTTTGCTATCTAGAGAAGTTGCATGTGTTAGTGAATTGATAGTGGAAGCTTGAATGAAGAAACAAAAGTTCAGTGCCAGGATCTACCGCTTTAGATGAATCATTTAACTCCAGATTTTAGTTTCTTTATTTCTAAATTGGAATGATAAGAATAAAACTTACTTCATGGGGTCATAATGTGCTAATGTATATGATAATACCTGGTTGAACTCCTCCAGTCCTGTCCTTTGCTCTTCATTTGGTTCTTCCTTACTCAGAGCTCTTGTTTATCTGGGGCAAAGTATTAAGCTGTTACAATCAAAGAACCTTTGAGAAGTCCACATTGGATACTTGAGTAAAATCAGAGTTCTATTAGCAGGGGAAAGGAAGGCAATGATAGGTAGGCAACTGACATTTTCTGATTCTTGATGTATGATCATCATTGAAAAGTTGAAAAAAATAGTCTTCTAGCACTGAAAGGTAAGTATGAATATTTTAAAGTCTTTTTAAAACTTTTTTTATTAAAGTGTAACATAATCAATGTGAAATGCACATTTCATAATTGTACAGCTCTATGAAGTATCACAAAATGAACATTACCCAGGTTAAGAAATAGAACATTGCCATCATTCCTGAAAGCTCTTGTGTCTCTCTCCTCTCATTCACTATCTCTTGTCTTCTATCTTATAGTAACCACTATCTGTTAATATCAGAAATTAATTCTGCCTTTGTTCTTGGTATTATTATTTATTATTTATTTGTATTTCCCCCAGTTTTATTGAGGTATAATTGACAAACAAAATTGAATATAGATGTGAGTATTTTGATATATAGATTCATCCTGCCTTAGAATAAATTTTAGAAATTTGTGAAATTTCTTAAAATTGTCAGTTAATTTCAGTGGACAAAATTTGCTTTCCTGAGTCCCTGAATTAACATCCATTTATGAAAAAAACATTAAGAAATCCCATTAAAATGGACACAATTACATTATTAGTTGAAATTAGTTATCTAAGATGATGTAAGAGGGCAGTGTGCTTTCGTTAATTACTCTGTAACATGGCTTTATAATGTGGTTTTCTGCCTGCCTACATTCAGTATTTTTGTGACTGTTGGGTATCTAAACCACTCATAAGACCTTCCTAAGATATTTGGTACTTATAAAGTTGAATTGTTCATGAGAAAAAAAAGGAACAAAAGCAGTAAAAGCAAAAGAAGTCACTGGGAACCATGCAAGAAGTGCATAAGATTAAGGTCAGACTAAACCAGCAAACTCCAAGACTGAGAAGAGAACTGATTTGATCAGGAGCCAACTTCACAAAGTGCAGTGGAATCACCAGGAGGCCTCCTTCCCCCTGAGGTCCATTATGCTGGCAGGAGGCCCTCCAAATCCTAGCTGGTCCTGGCAAATTCCAGGAGACAAGATCTTGGCTGAAGGAGAGAGAGCAAGTAGAACTCCTCAGAAAAGTTGAAATCTTATACTCAAATGGCATATTTCACAGTTAATAATTCCTTCCTGTTTCTTTACTCTGTCTGTGAGCCTTTTTTTAAAAGGTCATATACAACAGTATTTTCGAAAACTGCTAGATGTATTTCAGAGTATAGATGGGCTATAACTTATTCTCTCTTCTCTGTATGTAAATTGTTTTATATGCTTTTGCCGTTCTGTATAATGTTGCCAGGACCATCATTGTCAATAATCTATCTCAGCATCTCTGATTTGATTAAAGAAATACTGAGTGAAGTAATTATTGCTTTTAAGAAATGTTTTATTATAAATGTAATTTATGCTTATTGTAGGAAATTTGGAAAATGTAAAACTGTACAGAAGAAAGTAAAAATCACCCTACTATCCAAATAATCCTTGCTAACATTTTGGTATCTTCATTTTTTTTTTCTGTATGTATATCTAGCCATCTCCCTGTAAATGTGTTTTTTATTTTTACCTATAACTTTGAATTGTTATATGATATTCCATCTTATGAATGTCCTGTAATTCATTTAACTGTATCCTTTATTTTTGGACAATTAAATATTTCTTTTTAACGGATAATTATCCATTTAATGATCAACTAGGACATATGGAATCTTCATTGTTTCCTATATATAATGTCTTCTGCAAATAGTGACAGCTTTGCTTTTTTCTTTCCAATTTGGATACCTTTTATTTCTTTTTCTTGCCTTATTGCTGTGGCTAGCACTTCCAACATTATGTTGAATACAAGTGGCAAGAATGGGCATCCTTGTCCTGTTCCTGATCAGTGCTTAGGACAAAACCTGCCATATGTCTGGTTTTGTCCTAGGCACTACAGACAGTGTACAAGATAGTTTCCTGCATCCTGTATAATTAATTAGAAATAATTCTCAAATTACAGCTATCTTAACTGTTTCAAGGGAGAAGTAAAGGGTGCTATGAAAATGTCTAATGGGAAGACTTAGGATGGCTTCCTTGAGGAAATGACATTTCATTGAGACCTGAAGGATGAGCAGGATGAGCCCAGAGAAGAATGTGCCCTCAGAGGGTTGTAGGGGAGAGTGGAACAAATTACTCTATCTCCCCCCACCCTACCATCACACAAGGATGGATCAGTAGAGAACTGCTGAGCAGAGGATCCCAGCAGCACAGTGGCATTCTCAAAGCCCATTAAAATGGGAGAAATGTGGATAAATGTGGGCAGCTGGTCCAATCATAGCCAGAACCCTTAAGCAAGCAACAAATCTGTTTTCCTTTTGGAAATGAGGAAATTGAGGCTTATGAAGTTACACAAGTCATGGGGCTAATAAATTACAGAACTAGAGTTCATACTCAAAAAAGAAAGGCCTGTGCTCTTTCCACAGTAACGTGGCTCTGCTACCTCTCCTTCAATGCCTGCGTCAGACCATCACCACCCTCTGCTTCTCATCTTCATGCCCTTTCTCTGGGTAGCCTCCCCCGCTCCCTGTCTACCCCATACATAGATGTGCTTCTTTCCAGAGGGTGATTCCTCTTGTTTGGCAATGTCTCATGTTACAGAAAGATGGTCCATAGTGTTGTCTACTGTGCTGATATGTGAATTTTGTTGGAGTGACACGGTCTACCCAGAGCCTTTGTACAAGGTGCAGGTGGTAACCTGAGCCAGAGTGCCACAGGCCACTACGCAAGACCACCATCAGGCCAGGCATTTTCAGAAATCCCTCAGGTGCTTTTCTTTTTAAACTTCCTGCCTCACAATATTTTATTATGAAAAATTTCAAAGTGAAAAATTCAAAAGATTTTATACCCACAGCTAACATCATACTCAATAGTGAAAAGCCAAAAGCTCTTTCTCTAAGATCAGGAACAGGACAAGGATGCCCACTCTGTTTTTTTTTAAGATTTTTATTTATTTATTTGACAGAGAGAGACACAGCGAGAGCAGGGACACAAGCAGGGGGAGTGGGAGAGGGAGAAGCAGGTTTCCCATGGAGCAGGGAGACCGATGTGGGGCTCAATCGACTGAGCCACCCAGGCGCCCCAAGGATGCCCACTCTTGCCACTTTTATTCAACATAATATTGGAAGTTGGGGTGCCTGGGTGGCTCAGTCGGTTAAGCGTCTGCCTTCCATTCAGGTCATGATCCCAGAGTCCTGGGGTCAAGTCCCGCATCAGGCTCCCTGCTCAGCGGGGAGCCTGCTTCTCCCTCTCCCTCTCCCTGCTGCTTCCCCTATTTGTACTCTCTCTCTCTCTCTGTCAAATAAATAAAATCTTAAAAAAACCCATAATATTGGAAGTCAGAGCCACAACAATTAGGCAAGAAAAAGAAATAAAAACATCCAAATTGGAAAGAAAAAAGCAAAACTGTCACTATTTGCAGAAAACATGATAAAATATATAGGAAACCATGAAGATTCTATCAAAAAACTATTCGAATATATGATTTCAGTAATGTTATAGGATACAAAATCAAAATACAAAAATCCACTGTGTTTCTATACAATGAGCTACCAAAGAGAAATTAAGAAAATAGTTCTGTTTACAATTGCATCAAAAGAAAAAAAAAGTGCCTAGGAATAAATTTAACTGAGGAGGTGAAAGATCTGTGTACTGAAAAATCCAGGATATTAAAGAAAGAAATTGAAGAAGACACAAGTAAGTGGAGAGATATTCCATGCTTGTGAATTGGAAGAATTAATATTGTTGAAATGTCCGTACTACCCCAAGAAATATACAGATTTCTTATTTTTTTTAAAGATTTTATTTATTCATTTGAGAGGGAGAGAGACAGAGCACAAGCAGGTGGAGAAGTAGAGGGAGAGGGAGAAGCAGACTCCCCGCTGAGCCGGGAGTCCGACGTGGGGCTCAATCCCAGGACCTGGAGATCATGACCTGACTCAAAGGCAGACACTTAACTGACTGAGCCACCCAGGCACCCTGCAATATACAGATTTAAAGCAATCTCTAGTAACATTCCAATGGCATTTTTCACAGAAATAGGACAGTCCTAAAATACATATGAAACCACAAAAGACCCTGAATCAGCAAAGCAGTCTTGAGAAAGAAGAACAAAGCTGGAGGCATCACACTCCCTGATTTCAGACTTTAATACAATGCTACAGTAATTAATATAGTGTGGTATTGGCATAAAAATAGACACATAGATCAGTGGAACAGAATAGAGAGCCCAGAAATAAACTCACATGTGTGGTCAATTAATTTACAATAAATAAGCCAAGAATATATAATGGGAAAAAGACAATCTCTTCAAGGAATCGTGTTGGGAAAATTGGACAGCCACATACAAAAGAATGAAGCTGGACCACTATCTTAAACCATACAAAAAAATTAACTCAGAATGGATTAAAGACTTGAATGTAACATGCCCACTCTTTTAATAACCATAAAGCTTCTAGAAGAAACCATGGGCAGTAAGCTCTTTGGTATAGGTCTTGGCAATGATATTTTGAATCTGACACCAAAAATAAAAGAAACAAAAGGTAAAATAAACAAGTGGGACTACATCAAACAAAAAAGCTTCTTCACAGCAAAGGACACCATCAACAAAATGAAAAGGCAACCTACTGAATGGGAGAAAATATTTGCAAATCATATGCTGTTAAGAGCTTAATATCCAAAATATATAAAGAACTCATACAACTTCATAGCAAAAAAAAAAAAAAAAAGATTCAACTAAAAAATGAGCAGAAGATCTGAATAGACATTTTTCCAAAGAAGACATCCAGATGGCCAACAGACACATAAAGAGATGCTCAGCATCACTCATCATCAGGGAAATACGAATCAAAACCACAATGAGGTATAACATCACACCTCTTAGAACTGCTGTTATCAGTCAAGATAACAAGTGTTGGCAAGGATGTGGAGAAAAGGGAACCTTTGTACACTGCTGGTGAGAATGTGAATTGTTTTAGCCACTATGGAAACAGTATGAAGCTTCCTAAAAAATTCTGAGTATTTACTGAAAACAAAAACACTAACTCAAAGAAACATATGCACTCCTATGTTCATAGCAGCATCAATTACAATAGCCAAGATATGGAGATAGCTTAAAAGTCCATCAGTAGATGAATGGATAAAGAAGATGTGATTTATATGTATATTATTCGGCCATAAAAAAGAAGGAAATCTTGACATCTGTGACAACATGGATGGACCTTGAGGGCATTATGCTAAGTGAAATGTCAGAAAGACAAATACTGTATGATCTCACTTATATGTGGAATCTTAAAAAAAACCCAAAAACTCAAAAAGCTCATAGATCCATAAAACAGATTGGGGGTTGCCAGAGGCAGGGGCTGGGAGAAATGGGTGAAGGGGGTCAAAAAGTTTTAAAAAATTTAAAAATCACAAGCTATAAAAGGCAATGTAGTACTCTGGGTTGGATCCTAGAATAGAAAAAGGGAATTTGTAAAAAAAATGAGTAATATCAGAATCAAGTAGGTTGTCTAGTTATAGTAATGTACAGTGTTGACTTCTTAGTTTTGTCATATGTACTATTAGAAACTGGGTGAGGAATATATGGGAAAAATTAATAAATAAAAATAGAAATGTAGAAACAAATTTTTAAAGATTTTACAGTGAACTTTTACGTGTCCACCATCAATATTATTTTATTTGGCCTGCTTTATCACAGAGTATCTGTTTAACACACTCTTTATCCACCAGTCTGTCTGCAAAGTAAATTGCAGATATCAGTACGCTTCCTCCTAAATATTTTCAGCATGCACACCACTAACTAGAGTTCAGTATGTTTACAAATTTTTCTTTTGATGGAAGATTTGCTAAGTATTGACAAATGCTTATATCTGTGTAACCCTAACCCTCACCAGGATGATAGAGCATTACCATCACACCAGAAAGTTTCCTCATGCTCCAAACCATGCAGTCCTCACCCTGTCCCTGGGCAACCTGTCCCTGGAAAGGTGCTCCTTTTCCAACATTTCCATCTTCTTGTTGGAGAACTTAACATAGATGGAGTTATACAGTATGTATTCTTTTGTACTAGGCTCCTTTTATTTAGCATCTTTTGTGACTCATCCACATTGTTGTGCATATTGGTAGTTCGTTGCTGAATAGTAATCCATTGTATGAATATACAATCTTTTTTTTTTAATCCATTCTCCTATTGATGCATCACTGTTTCCAGTTTGGGGCTATCATGAATAAAGCTGCAGTGAACATCATAGAAGTCTTTGGGAACATATATTTTCATTTCTTTTGTGATTAGAATTGCTTGGCCATAGTTTAGGTGTATGTTTAGCTTTATAAGAGACCTCCAGACCTTTTCTCAAAGTGGTTGTACCACTTTATATTCCCATTCACAATGTATGAGAATTCCAGTTGTTTCTTATCTTCCCCAGTATTTGGTGGTATCAGCCTTTTAAATTCTGGATATTCTGGTAGTTGTGTAATGGTATCTCAATAAAAACCCCATGGGTTTTTACTCTTCAGTTCAGTTTGGGGAAAATGAATGGAAGAAGGGAAGAAGGAGAAGCAAACAGTTCTGTTTTGAGATTGTATACACTGTAGACTTCATAGCACTTATATACAAATTCTTCAAATCCTCATCCTTTACACCTATTTTTTTTTTAGATAATGCGTTGTTTTTATATTCTTCAAATTCATTCTTTTTGTTCATAATTATTTAAAACTGTTATTTTCTGAGAGTATTCAATAGTCTAATTACCTGAAATTCTTTGGTTTTGTTTTGTTTTACAGGGCACAGCTCAGGGGGAAAAAGTGGTGCATTTCCGGACATTCTGAGGGTGCACAAGGAAACCAGCCATGTCCTTGGATGACATTAAGATGAAATCTAGTGACTTTTTGGAGAAGGAGCATCTGGACAGTGGGGGCTTCGGAAAGGTGTCTTTGTGTTTACACAGATCCCATGGACTTGTAATACTGAAAAAGGTGTACACAGGGCCCACGCGCACTGAGTGAGTTGGGAGCAGAGGTGGGTGGGCCAAATTACGGGCTGGCCATGGGAAGAATTACTGTGGAGGGCCAAGGCAGGGCAGTGGATAAGCATGGCCCAGGCGTTAGGAGACAGACCGCGGGGTGTCAGCGGGCACACTTGCTGTCCCATAACCCTTCGAGCTGGTTATTACTATCCCCGTACCACTAAATGAGGATTCAGAGGCTGGTTGGCAAAAAGTCCACAGCTAATAGACAATGGAAGAGAAGCGAAGGGAAGGAATTAGGGAAGGGGAAGGAGATGAAGAGTGATGAGGGAGGCAATGAGAAGACAATGGGAGGGGTCAGTGAGATAGACTTGCCTACTTGCTGCACGGTTTTGGTGGGGACCAGCCGTACCTATAGAAAAACAAAATGTAGGCCATTTATTAGAGGTTCCAGAAGCCCTCTCTTTAAAGCAGTTGGTGGACTTGTTTTACTTCCCTCTCTTCTTGCCAGAGTGGTTACCAAGAGAGGTGAATTTTCTGTTATGCCATCTAACACAGCCCTTTGTCCGGCTGCCTCTCCTTGCGGCTCTTCACATACTTTGCATTCATTCGTTCGTCGCTCTGAGATTTCTTGAGCGCTTGCTGCCCATCACTGGGAAGGAACGAGAAAGTCCTGTGCCTGCGGACGCCCGTTGTCTGGGCCTGGAGGAGATCAGTACATGCACAAGCTCCAACACCAGCATGTGATGCGTGGGAGGCGCGTACTGTGTTTCTTGGGGGCACAAGGGACAAGGGCGCAAACTCCGCCCATGTTAACAGCACCTTTCTGTCCCGCAGGTACAACGACTCCCTCCTTGAGGAGGGCAAGATGATGCACAGGCTGAGACATAATCGGGTGGTGAAGCTCCTGGGCGTCATCATGGAAGAAGGGAGCTACTCCCTGGTGATGGAGTACATGGAAAAGGGCAACCTGATGCACGTTCTGAAGGCGGAGGTAAAGAGGGCTTCGCTGTGCGCTGGACCCGCACCGTGACCCAGGCATCGCTCATCCGTGATGGTGCTCGCCATGGTGTTTGTTCTTTTGTAGCTTGTTGGTGTCAAATAACCCCCTTGTGAGTTGCTACATAGTGTGGATTTTCTGAAGTCAATCCCTGGTGAAAATGTCCTGCCCAGAAGGTGGTCTTGCCTTCCTGTCAGTCCTTGTAGACAGCTGTCGTACCCCTCACCGGGGGGAGGTCCCCCCACTGTCTTGGCGTTGTAGCTGGCTCTGGTCAGCACCCCCAGCATCCACAGTTGAGGGATAGGCATTGTCTTCCTGAAGGCCGCCGTCTGACGTGAGGCACATGCCTCCTGGGTGTGAGCTGACTGATTGACTGAAGGATGTACACTAGACGTGACTGTAAGTGGAAATGGAATATTAATGATTGCTCTTTGATACCACTTGAGAAAACTTAGAGGCTAAATAGAGAGCATTAGAGGCAACAACACTGGATAAGACTTAAAATAAGAAAAATTGTTTATGAAAACCACATCACTGTAATAAAGCATTTTTTAGAGTTTATCTACCTATTAAGAGCAAGGCCTCCTGCCAGTTGCTCAGGAGGCAATGGCAAATAGGACACAGACACGTACCACGAACAGATCAGGAGGGAACGGTGTGGCCTCTCGGTGTTTCAGTAGACATCTCCCAGCGAGCGTGCTGTGGGAACACAGGGGAGAGGCCCTCACTGCAGTGTGGAAGAGATGAGAAGGGATTCCAGAAGGGGGATGCTTGAGCCAAAGCCTGAAGGACAAGCAGAGAATTAGGGGATATGTGTTCTGGGTGAGAGAATAGCAAAGGAAAGAGAATATGCCAAATTTGGGACACCGCAAATAACTGGATTTGGCCAAAGCATAGATTGCATCTGGGAGTGGTGGGATGTGGCAGTCTGTAGGGCAGATATCCCCCCTTTTCCCATCTCCCTCACCCTACAACTGCCTGAGGTTATGTCCATTCTTCAGTTCTTCTAAGCCCCAGACATCTCTCACAGACACATGTGGGAAGGGTAAGGGATGTTCACTTATACACGTTGTGTTATAATTGAATGAGACTGCTCTTCTCGCCAAAACTAGGTTAGACCAGCTGTTGCATGAAGTAAGTAGGCATTTTGATTGGGAAATAAATCCTGTGCAACAAGAGGCGTTCTGCTGGATCAGGCGAGGATAAGGTGGACTAGTCTGGGCTCCAGAGGAATTCAGGAGGATGTGAAGGAGAAAAGCAGAAAGGGGAATGAGAAGGGGATTTCCTTCTCAGAATTTTTTCCTACATCCAAGGTATACCAAGGAAGAACGGAAAATCTCTGGCTCTTTTTTGGATGGTGGTGATCAGACTACCAATTCAGCTACATTATGGGTTTTAAATATGGTTTGGGGGGGTTGACTTGGGATTCTAACTTCCATCATTTAAATTTTTGTCCTGTTTACCAACAACCAACATATACATAAATTTTTAGGAAACAGCCTGTTTGTAAACTAGAGACTGCACAAACACACACACACACACACAATGTGCATTTTTCAGTGTTAAGCAAAACTAATGTTTTGGAATTCTCTATATTAACGTTGATATTTATGTAACTAGAATACAATTGTTAAGTAAGAATGACTTGTGAATTTACAAAAACCTGCTGAAGTATCTGATACCAAATTACCAAAGAGCTATTAAATTCACTTCCACATTGTTTTAACATCATGATATCTCATAGGTTAATCTTTACATGTTTGCAATCAGTGTGAGCATGCTGAGAATCTCTTGTATTCTTTTTTCTCAGTATTATTTCATATACACACTTCTGTGACATTGTTCACTCATTTAGTATATAGTAGCATATATTAATGCACTGTAGAAAATACCTGTTTTTTGTTTATTTATTTATCCCTTCATTCAACAGCAATTCTAGGCATTGTGCTAGGTAGTAAGGATGCATATTATAATCATCATCATCATCATGTTCTGCTCTCAAGGGGCTTAATTTTATAGCATTTTAATATATTACCATATTGGCATGAATGTTTTATTTTTACATGGCAGAATACAACATTAATACCCTTAGCATGTGGGATGAAATCTTTCTTTAAAAGGGGGCTTCTTTTGGGCGCCTGGGTGGCTCAGTTGGTTAAACGACTGCCTTCGGCTCAGGTCATGATCCTGGAGTCCCGGGATCGAGTCCCGCATCGGGATCCCTGCTCGGCAGGGAATCTGCTTCTCCCTCTGACCCTCCCCCCTCTCATGTGCTCTCTGTCTCATTCTCTCTCTCTCAAATAAAAAAAAAAAAAGGGGGGGGGCTTCTTTTAAAATGATGGCAGTGCTGCAGAGCATGATAGAAGGAATCCTGGTAACTACAGATGGTCCCCAGCTTATGGTTCCACTTATGATTTTTTCACTTTATGATGGTCAAAAGCAATGGGCATTCAGTGGAAACCGTATTTTGAATTTTGAATTTGGATTTCTTCCTGGGCTAGCAGCATGCCTTATGATCCTCTTTCATGATGCTAGGCAGTGGCTGTGAGCCATGTGATCACATGGTAGACAACCGATATACTCACAACCATTCTGTTACTCACACAGCCATTCTGTTTCTCACTTGCTGTTTAGTATCAGTCAATTACATGAGATAGTCACCATTTTATTATACAGTAGGCTCTTTGTTAGATGATTTTGCCCAACTAAGGCTAATGTAAGTGTTTTAAACAGATTTAAGATAGGCTAGGCTAAGCTATGATGTCTAGTAGGTTAGATGTATTAAACATTTTTGAATTATGATATTTTGAACTTATGATGTGTTTATTAGGCCATAACTCCATTGTATGTCAAGGAAGATCTGTATATCCTCAGGTTCAGACCCCACTACTCTTGAATAAAACAGTGGCTTTGGCCTATTTGACTTACCTTTCCATTTCATAGACTTAATGTCACTTGTTTTAGGTCAGAATCCCCCTTTCTGTAAAAGGAAGGATAATTATGGAGACCATTGAAGGGATGTGCTACTTACATGGACAAGGCGTAATACACAAGGACCTAAAGCCTGAAAATATCCTCGTTGATGATGACTTTCACATTAAGGTAAGTCATGATCTGAAGGTTTCTAGAAGATTGGGGTGATTTTAGTTTTAATTCTTCGCTATAAATCCATTTTGTACATGGTAGACCCCTAAAGGAAGATCTCACTCAGCTTAGAACTGAAGACAGTGGTGCTGGAAGATTCTGCCACGGATTGACAAGAAAGATGCAGACTTGATGGAATTCATATTATTTACTTATTTATTTATTCTCATCTACATTTTTTATCAGTTTTTTTTTTTTTTAACTGTAACTTACTCCATTGTAGTAAAGGGAACAAGGGGAAGAGATTTTCCTTTTGTTCACTCAAGAGCAGATTTAACGAGGTGGAACGTCACATCTAATTGGTTTTGGCAACAGGAATCCAAGCACGAGAATCTGAAAGGGGAAGCAGCATTTGGGGGAGAACTCAGGAACTGCTTACGCAGGCATCCTTTTACTACAAGATTCTGCTTCTAACACTTCCTTCTAGTCTTGGACAGATTTTTATTCCTATGACTTTGAAAGAAGGTTCCTTCTTTACATTAATAACATTTCTTATGTATCTCTTATGTTAAAATCTGGGGACTTTGGATCATCACATGCCAAAACCCATACCCATATGCTTGGATTCCTAGAGGCAAAAGTGAAACTGTCATCTTTGATTTCTTCTTAACTGTATTGTTCTATTGTTCTGTACTTTTGTTCTTGCCACCTCTCTCTGTTCTGTGTCTGATCTTTGTATTTTTCTTTTTGCTTTCTTCTCTGTTTTCCTCCTCCTTCCTATCCCATCTTCTCTTAGGTTCAGGCTACCAACTCAAAACAACTAGCATTGCAGTCCTTAACCTCAGGACTTTGGAGTCCTTAGAATCTCGCGTCCACAGGCTTCAGGACACCATTTGGGAAAATTGAAGGTGCAGTATCTCGTCATCATCAGCTATACAAATCTGCTGAGAAGAAAATATCTTTTCTTCCTAGCCCCAGAAATAGTTGAAAAATATATGTAGAGTAAATGAGGAATTAGAATAAACATGTTTTACTGTAGTTCATGTTAGAAATGACTTCTGCTTTTTCTGTTCGCTTCCCCTCCCCTAACCCCACTAGCAAATTCCATGGTTTTATTGCATAAGAATTTGAGATACCAGAATTTCACATGGACATTTCTTAGAGGACATTTTCCAGCAAGCTGAGGAAACACAAAGTTTCTATGAATTTGTTCAGAAGTAGCTGTTTTAAATCTATCTAGTGGAAATTTCTGGAAATCCACTATACCTCCCATCTATTAGTTAAGCCCCAAATTTAAAGACAAGTCTGATTTACCTGTGGCTCTCACAGAACAATCCTTTTGGTTTTGATTTCTTGCAGATAGCTGATCTTGGCGTTGCTTCCTTTAAGATGTGGAGTAAACTGACTAAAGAGGAACATAATGAGCAGAGGAAATTGAATAGTGTCTCTAAGAAAAATGGCGGAACCCTTTGCTACATGGCCCCTGAGCATCTGAATGACATCAATGCAAAGCCCTCGGAGAAGTCAGATGTGTACAGCTTTGGCATAGTACTTTGGGCAATATTTGCTAATAAGGAGCCCTATGAAAGTAAGACATTTGTAGAGGAATGGGATCTGGGTATTAATCAAAACTGCTGAGTAAAATAGTGACCTTCAGTGAAGTCAGTTAAGACTTATGACTGTCTGTTCATTTAATGTCTTTCTTACCCACTACACCGTAAGTTACGCAGGGGCTGGGACCATATCTGATTTATTCAGTGCTATTTCCTCAGTATCTACACACACAGTGCCTGGAACACAGTAGGTGCTCAATACCATTATGTTGAATGAATGAGTAATCTCAGTTTAGGAATCAGGGATCACAGGACAAATAGGAGCCTTGATGATATATCTGAGTTTGGGAAGTGATGTAAAATTCCAGGATTCTTCCTGAACAGGAAAGCTTGCTTGCTTCTGCTTATGAGACATAGTACTTCATACTTTCATTCATTCACTTGCTCCCTTACTCGAGAATTATTTCTTTTCGGTACTTACTATGGGCACTTTAATTGGAATTAAGAATAAAGAGATGAGAAAAGACATTGTTCATGAAGGAGAACCAATATAGAATTGGTCATTCTTCAGATTAATGGACATTTTCTGGTCCCATTTTCTTGGGTGATTATCAGCTCCCTTGGTTTAATGATCACCCATTGCCAAGGCCTCTAAAATCTCTTATCTCTAGCCCTGGCCTGGATATCCCCTTATCTGTTAGATCCATTACACCTACCAGAGGAACCCCAAAGCAGCATCCCCCCAAACAAATTCATCTTCTGCATGCTCTCCTTGTAGTCCACTCAGCTTTGCTCTTCTCATGTTCAGAAAATGGCATCACCATCCACCTACTGAGTCGCTGGACCAGAACCCTTACTCATCCCAGTCTCAGCTTTGCCGCTTGTCTCCTACATCCAATCAGACATCAAAACCTATGAATCCAAGGTATACATACGATTCAAGATACATCTTGAATCCATCCACTTCTATCGCCACCAGACTCTCTTTAGTTCACACCCTTCATATTTCTGCTGAAGCCTACTCATGCCATTCCCCATTCACACTGCAGCCAAGCTGGTCATGCTAAAAGGCAAGTATGACCATCTCACTCATCTATTTAAAATCTTTCCAAGGCTGGGGCTCCTGGGTGGCTCAGGTGGTTAAGCGACTGCCTTCGGCTCAGGTCATGATCCTGGGGTCCTGGGATCAAGCCCTGCATCAGGCTCCCTGCTCGGCCGGAAGCCTGCTTCTCCCTCTCCCACTCCCCCTACTTGTGTTCCCCCTCATGCTGTCTCTCTCTCTCTCTCTCTGTCAATTAAATAAATAAATAAAATCTTAAAAAAAAAAAAATCTTTCCAAGGCTCCCTGGGCCTTCAGGATAAAGTTCAAATTCTTCAATATGGAATACCAAGCCCTCTCTGATTTGGCTTTTCCATCTTTCTCTAGCCTTATTCCTTACCTCTCTTTCTTTAGTCAATATGCCCAGTTATAATGAACTATTCATAATTCCTGGGACACATCATGATTTCGGGGACTTCCAGCCTATTCATATCCTGCTTCCCTAGCCTGGAATCCTCCTCTCAGAGTCCTCCTTCCTGATTCTTTTTTTTTTTTTTTAAAGATTTTGTTTATTTATTTGAGAGAGAGAGAGAATGAGAGACAGAGAGCATGAGAGGGAGGAGGGTCAGAGGGAGAAGCAGACTCCCTGCCAAGCAGGGAGCCCGATGCGGGACTCGATCCCGGGACTCCAGGACCATGACCCGAGCCGAAAGCAGTCGCTTAACCAACTGAGCCACCCAGGCACCCCCTTCCTGATTCTTTACATGGATAAATCCTGCTCATTTTTCTTGACTCAGCAAAGCCTTCTCTGACCTTCTAGTCACAGTTGTTAGCAGAACCCTTTGTACTTACTCCTTGAATAACAGTTACCACTCAGTGTTTTCAGTCACAATAGATTGAGCTCCTTACAGGTAAGAGCTGTACCATATTTGTCTTTGTATTAAAATCTGGAGTATGCCATTGGTTTTATTTATATATTCTATTTGTTCTACCAGGAGGCCACTTTGTTGTGAATTCTGTCTCATCGGCAGAGGTTAAAATGTCGTTTGATCATGTGGGCAGTAGAACATGCCAGTGCCTTGTCAGAGGGTCATTCTGCCCCTATCAGATGAGGCACCTGTATTAAAAGCACACCCTCTGTAGAGAGAGATGAGCAGCATTGTCCAAATTCTGCCACCTCCCTGCCTGAGATATGCAGGACCTAAGAGAAAGTCAACTTAAATTCTTCTTTGCTTTATAGATGCTATCTGTGAACAGCAGTTGATAATGTGCATTAAATCTGGGAACAGGCCAAATGTGGAAGACATCCTTGAGTACTGCCCAATGGAGATTATCAGCATCATGAAGCAATGCTGGGAGGCGAAACCAGAAGTTCGGCCAACATTTACTGGTAAGAGCATCTTTTATGACTGTGTACATTGCCAATGAGGCGAATTTTCCTAGTAAGATGTTGTCAAGGAGTTGCTTTAAGTTTTCAAAAAACTCAGTTCCACTTGTGATTTCAGATTGGTTTTCTAGATTTCAAACATTTTGTTCAATGAAAAGATACCATCCATCTCAAAAGCATGAAGGCATGTAAGGCCCTCTTATTTCTTTTTCTTTCACAAGTAACTTTTTAAAAATTGTGTTAAAATATACATAACACATCATTTACCATGTTAACCTTCTTCAAGTGTATGGGGCAATGGCATTGAGTACCTTCACCATCGCCACCACCCATCTCCAAAACTTCATCTTCCCAAACTGAAACTTTGTTTCAGTTAAATACCAGCTCCCCATTCAATACCAGCTCCCCATTCCTCTTCCCCCAGCCCTTGGCAACCACCATTCTAACTTTTCATCTCTCTGAATTTATTCTATTATGTCTATTATTACATAAATAGAAAGGTACTACTCTGGGTACCTCATGTAAGTGGAATCATACAGGATTTGTCTTTTTGTGCCTGGCTTAGTTCAGTCGGCATAATGTCTGAGGTTCCTCCATGTTGTAGCATGTGTCAGAAGCTCCTTCCTTTTTATTGCTGAATGGTATGTATTCTGTGGTATTTATAGACCACATTTTCTTTATTCATTCATCTGTTGATGGATACTTGGGTTGCTTCCACTGGCCTCTTTGTTTCTTTTTTTTTTTTAAAGATTTTATTTATTTATTTGACAGAGAGAGACACAGCGAGAGAGGGAACACAAGCAGGGGGAGTGGGAGAGGGAGAAGCAGGCCTCCCGCCGAGCAGGGAGCCCGATGCGGGGCTCAATCCCAGGGTCCCGGGACCACGACCTGAGCCGAAGGCAGACGCTTAACGACTGAGCCACCCAGGCGCCCCGGCCTCTTTGTTTCTTAGCTTCTCTTGTTTCTTTTCTCTCCCCTTGTGTAGCTGACATCTTTGGAAATGTATGTTGTCATTTAGATTGGGCCTATAGGAGAGGGAGAGGGAAAGGGACATGGATGTTTGCCACATCCTTGTACCTCTTCCCATTCCTCTAGGTTACCTAGGATCTTGCTAAGATCCTAGAGGCAGAGGAAGAATGGAAATCAGAGGAAAGAAAATCAAGTGAGCAAAAAATAAACAGTAGGAAGTCACTTAGGAGCCTATTTCTGCTGTGAGAAAACAGAATTAAAGCCCACCTACCGCTGCTACCAAGGATTAGAGGGTTACTTTGGTTTATTTGCTTGTTTTCTTATTCTGTTAGTCAGCCAATCTTCTCCTGACTTAGTCTCTTCTCTTCTTTCATGCCTTTTTCACCTTTTCAAAATTAAAGTTCTTATTTTGAGATAATTGTAGATTTACATGTGGTTGTAAGAAAAACACAGAGGGGTACCTGGCTGGCTCAGTCGGTAGAACGTGGGACTCTTGATCTGGGGGGTTGTAAGTTTGAGCCCCAGGTTCGGTGTAGACATTACTTAAAAACCTTTAAAAAAAAAATTCTCCTTTTTGATGGGATCTTTGCCTGGTTTGGGGATTAAGGTAATGCTGGCCTCATAGAATGAGTTTGGAAGCTTTCCTTCTGTTTCTGTTTTTTGAAACAGCTTCAGGAGAATAGGTATTATTTCTTCTTTGAATGTTTGGTAGAATTCCCCAGGGAATCCATCAGGCCCTGGACTCTTGTTTTTTGGGAGGTTTTTGATCACTGCTTCAATCTTGTTACTCGTTGTTGGCCTATTCAGGTTTCATTTTCTTCCTGTTTCAGTCTTGGCAGTTTATAGGTTTCCAGGAAGGCATCCATTTCTTCCAGGTTGCTCAATTTATTGGCATATAGTTGTTGATACTAATTTCTGATAATTGTTTCTATTTCCTTGGTGTTAGTCGTGATCTCTCCCCTTTCATTCATAATTTTATTAATTTGGGTCCTTTCTGTTTTCTTTTGGCTAAGTCTGGCCAATGGTTTATTGATCTTATTAATTCTTTCAAAGAACCAGCTTCAAGTGTCATTGATCTGATCTACTGTGTTTCTGGTTTCTAATCCGTTGACCTCTGTTCTAATCTTAACTATTTCTCTTCTAATGCATGGCTTAAACATTGTTAAAATGTCTATGCTACCCAGAGCAATCTATACCTTCAATGCCATCCCGATCAAAATTCCAATGACATTTTTCAAAGTGCTGGAACAAACAATCCTAAAATTTGTATGGAATCAGAAAAGACCCCGAATCGCCAAGGAGATGTTGAAAAAGAAAAACAAAGCTGGGGGCATCACGTTGCCCGATTTCAAGCAATATTACAAAGCAGTGATCACCAAGACAGCATGGAACTGGCACAAAAACAGACATATAGACCAATGGAACAGAATAGAGAACCCAGATATGGACCCTCAACTCTATGGTCAAATAATCTTCGACAAGGCAGGAAAAAACATGCAATGGAAAAAAGACAGTCTCTTCAATAAATGGTGCTGGGAAAATTGGACAGCCACATGCAGAAGAATGAAACTCGACCATTCTCTAACACCATTCACAAAGATAAACTCAAACTACGAATCCATCAAAATTCTAGAGGAGAACATAGGCAGTAAGCTCTTTGACATCAACCACAGCAACTTCTTTCAAAACACGTCTCCAAAGGCTAGTGAAACAAAAGCAAAAGTGAACTTTTGGGACTTCATCAAGATAAAAAGCTCCTGCACAGCAAAGGAAACAGTCAACAAAACAAACAGGCAACCCACAGAATGGGAGAAGATATTTGCAAATGACACTACAGATAAAGGGCTGGTATCCAAGATCTATAAAGAACTTCTCAAACTCAACACCCAAAAAACAAATAATCAAGTCAAAAAATGGGCAGAAGACATGAAAAGACACTTCTCCGAAGATCTACAAATGTCTAACAGACACATGAAAAAATGTTCATCATCATTAGCCATCAGGGAAATTCAGATCAAAACCACATTGAGATACCACCTTACACCAGTTAGAATGGCAAAAATGGACAGGGAAAGAAACAACAAATGTGGGAGAGGTTGTGGAGAAAGGGGAACCCTCTTACATTGTTGGTGAGAATGCAAATTTGTACAGCCACTTTGGAAAACAGTGTGGAGGTGCCTCAAAAAGTTAAAAATAGAGCTACCCTATGACCCAGCAATTGCACTCCTGGGTATTTACCCCAAAGACACAGATGTAGTGAAAAGAAGGGCCATATGCACCCCAATGTTCATAGCAGCAATGTCCACAATAGCCAAACTGTGGAAGGAGCTGAGATGCCCTTCAACAGATGAATGGATAAAGAAGATGTGGTCCATATATACAATGGAATATTACTCAGCCATCAGAAAGGATGAATACCCAACTTTTACATCAACATAGATTGGACTAGAGGAGATTATGCTAAGTGAAATAAGTCAAGCAGAGAAAGTCAATTATCATATGGTTTCACTTGTTTGTGGAACATAAGGAATAGCATGGAGGACATTAGGAGAAGGAAGGGAAAAATGAAGCGGGGGGCAGGAATCAGGGAGAGACGAACCATGAGAGACTATGGACTCTGAGAAACAAACTGAGAGTTTTAGGGACGTGAGGGTATGGGTTAGCCTGGTGATGGGTATTAAGGAGGGCACATACTGCATGGAACACTGGGTGTTACATGAAAACAATGAATCGTGGATCACCACATCAAAAACTAATGATGTATTGTATGGTGACTAACATAACATAATAAAATAAAATTACAAAAAATAAAAAATTAAAAAAAAAGAGGGGCACTTGGGTGGCTTAGTTAAGCCTCTGCCTTTGGCTCGGGTCATGATCCCAGGGTCCTGGAGTCCCGGGATCAAACCCTACATAGAACTCCCTGCTCCGTGGGGAGTCTGCTTCTCCCTCTCCCTCTGCCTGCTGCTCCCCCTGCTTGTGCTCTCTCTGTCTCTTTGTGCCAAATAAATAAAATAATATCTAAAAAAAAGAAAAAAGAAAAGAAATAACAGAAATAACAGAAATATCCCTTATCCTTTTATTGAATTTACCCCAATGATAACATCTGGCCTAACTATAGTATAGTATTACAACTAGGATATTGACATTGATATAGTCAGATACAGAACATCTCCATCACCACAAGGGGTCCATTATGTTGCCCTCCTATAGCCACACCCACTTTCCTCCCCAACCCCACCCCCCTCCTTCACCTCTGCGGATCACTGAACTGTTCTCCATTTCTATCATTTTTTTGTCATTTCACAAGTTACATAAATAGAATCATAAAATACTTTTTGGAAATCCTTTGGGAATGGCTTTTTGCCACTCAGCATAAATCCCTAGAGATTCATCAAGGCTGTTCTGTGTATCAATGATTTGTTCCTTTTCATTGCTGAATAGTATTCCATGGTGTGGATGTACCACAGTTTGTTTATTCTCTCCTCAAAGGAAATCTGGTTTGTTCCCAGTTTTTGGCTATTATAACTAACACTGCTGTAAATATTCATGTTACAGGTTTTTGTGTGAATATAAGTTTTTATTTCTTTGGAATAAATACCCAGGAGTGAGATAGCTAGGTTGTATGGTAGTTTCATGATTGTTTTTTTGTGGGCTTTTCTTGCCACTGTTTTCCAGAGTAGTTGTACCATTTTATGTTCCTACCAGCAATGTGAACCACCAGTGATCCAGTTTCCCTGCATCTTTTCTAGCATTTGGTATTATCACTATGTCATTTTAGCCATTCTGATAGGTATGTAGTGATATCTCACTGCGGTTTTAATTTGTATTTCTCCAATGGCTAATGATATTGAATATATCTTTTTTTGTGCTTATTTGCTATCTGTCTCTCTGTTTTGGTAAAATGTTGCTTTAATAACTTTTGCCCACTTTCTAATTAGATTGCTTGGTTTCTTTTTACTGTTGAATTTTGAATGTTCTTTATATATTCCATATAGTATTCCTTCATTGGATATGTAGTTTGCAAATGTTTT